TCCTACTGCTACTTCTTTTGCATTTTCGCAGCCAAATTAATATATTTTGTAAAATAATTATAGTATATTCGTACAAAGCAACTTTGAACTTCAAACAAAGTATTAATGTTTTGGAAGTATTACCGTCTGAACTGTGATGCTAGCATAAAATTAAAATGCAGTTTGAATTTAAAGTTTCTTTGTAGATATTTAATGCTTTGTTTAATGTATGATTTCAGACTGATTATCCGATGACTATTTTCTTTTTGTATAAATTGAAATTGTTTTACCTACATTGTTTAATCGTACGAAATAACGAATCAAATTTAATCGGAATATGATTTATAATAATTTAATGCGTCTGTGTCTACGTGTGTAAAATAATTAATTTTCTCGCGAATGTGCGCATTAAATTTAAAAATATAGCTAGAAATGTTGGATACGACTGATTTTGTCAGCAAACCTCAGCATTTTGTGAACTTTAGCGACGGAGATTAAGTAACTGGTATAATTTATGCAATAATTACACATTGGGTTAGACTTTGATCATTCGAATCAGTCGTTGGTTTCGTGTCCAAGTCAGATAATAATTCGATTACACTCACCGAACGTACATTTGTTCTCTCTTGCCGTTTCTTTACTTTGGAACGTCATTGGTTGGTCGACAGGACGACGAAAGAAGAGGAAGGAATATCTATAGGTACGATGATGCGCGCGTGGCCAGTTTTTGTTAGCAAAAGCGAAATAGCAATACGGAGGTCTTATAAGGATGACGTCAACTAACGTAATTTGCCTCCGAAAGTAGTATCCCTTCAATACATTTTGCAGATTCCCATCAACGCGTTACGTTAATTTACTTATACATGCAGTGGCAATTGCACCGCAGCACGTGCACATACATACATTTATTTGAGTTGATTCACATACTTCCTGATTGTCTAATCATAGCTCTTGTAATAGACGATTGCAATTATATTCTTTGCAACTATATATTATATATATATATATATATATATATATATATATATATATATATATATATATCAAATTTTGATGTAACAGTAATAAATGAAATATCTAACTTTCTCTTTAGATTTTTTCGTCATACACATAGAATGACTTATTTCTCTAATACATATTAATTATTTATTATCTTTTCTTTCCTGATTTATGTTTTCATATTTATCTGTACAATAATTTTCTACAAAAAGTATATAAACCAAAGTTATTAATAATAATATTATATTAATAAAATAATTTCTTTTTCATTTTAAATATAATTCTTCCAAAAAAATCAATTAACTCTAATTTAATGTATCATTAAATTGTATTTAATTTGCAATTTAAAATTTTGTTTCTTCATTGTGTCATTGTGTTAAATTATAACTTTTGATTATAATAATTGGAACAAATATTCCGTATTGCATTATCTATCGTTAAGATATAAATATTCATAATTAAATATTATATTTCGTAGTTACGCTAGTCTATTTGTTTCTTTATTAAATTTAGCTTAGAAAAATTATATATAATTTATATAGTAATTAATTATTTCGGTATAAAAACTTCATTATTAAATGATACTAATGAAAAGTTAAAAAAAAAATCAATATAAACGCAAAAAAATTGAACACACCAAATAATATTGCGAATATAATTCACTTTTTATTGTGAAAATAGATCTACGATTTTTGTTTTCGAAAATAATTAAAATGCAAAAATTTCATAAAATATCTGCATTTTCGTAATATAATATTTAAGATTCATTCTTGTACGCAATTTTTCATTCATACTAGGAGAATGTAAATGCATAAAATTCATCGTTTAACCTTAATTATTCCGTTTATAATAGAAAATCTATTTTTCCATTATTATATATCTAGATTTTTCGCATAATAATTATTGAGTAATAAAAGCAGACGTTTCCGAATTAATATTAAATTTAAGTAAATTGTGTAAATATATGATTTTATATAATTCATCGTTGAAATAAATATTATATTTAAGTTATGTAACATTTTAAATGTATTGCTTTCATAAATTTCCGATAAAATTTTAAAATCGTATTATTTAAAAATAACGTTAAAACTTGTTTAATGCCGAAAATGAATAATTTATAAAATTAAAGTGCTTTGTGAATGTATTTTGAATTAACACTTAAATAAATAATTAACATTTTAGTAATAAATTTAAATAAGCAATTGAACTTGAAGTTTATATTTCAACGAACAGTTTAAATTAAAATAGAATTAAGACTTCAAATATAGTATTCAGAATACCGAATGAGGTTTGTTTTTAAATAAGTTGATTTTATAAAGCAATGCCGAATTTATTATTATTGTATATATTATTTAAATTTAGGTATAATATTTTAATTTATATTTTTAAAGTAAAATTTTGAAATATATCGATGTATTGTTCTTCTCAAGGAAATATATTACAAAAATTGGAAAAAATCATTAGCAACTGTGAGGCTGGAGAAACTTTATTATTAAATGTAAGAATTTATAAACAACTAAATAAAGTAAGATAGTTTTTTATATACTTAAATTACATAGTATTTGCGATACATAAATGCTTAATTATACTTTACTATTAATAATTAATGATTATGTCTATTTTTTATGATATTTTTAAATTTTAATGATTGACGTATACAAGAAATGTGTTGATAAGATTAGTATAATGAAAATTTGTTTTATTATTATAAAGTACTATTATTTTCATTTTATTTTAAATATACATAATGTCAAATTTCTTATTAATATTATATACATAATAAAGAGATATTAGAAAAAATTATTGTTTCTCTTTAAAATTTCTATTTAAAATAGTCCGTTAAAGAATTTATAATTATACTTTAGTGGAATATTATACTTTACTAGAATATATAATTTATAATAATACACTTATAAATTTACTATGATGATATAAAAATAATAACATAATAAAACTTTTGTTTAAATTAAGGATTTAATTAGTATATACAAAGTTATATATGTAAATTTCTTGCTATCACAACAACAACAACAACAGCAGCAGCAGCAGCAACAACAACAACAACAACAACAACAACAACAACAACAACAATAAGAACAACAGCAACAACAACAATAATAATAATATTTCACGTTTAATGAGTTTTTTTAAAGATTAAATTTAAATTTAATATAATTTTAAAATGTGCATTATAATAGAAGAATTATGTGTACTTAAAGCAAATTAATAATTCAAATATTCATAATATGCACGAGATAATATTGTCTATTTTATTGAATTACTTAATCTAGACTTATTTTTACATTATTCACGATTGAGAGATAATATTTATATTATATTTTAAAATTACTTATTGTTGTCAAGACACAAATTTTACAAGTATATCATTCTGATTTCCATAGTTTTCCCTAATCCGTCAACTACTATATTTGTATTAAATTAAATCGACATTTCTTCAAACATGTGTCGATAAGAATTAATTAATAAATGTTTCGCTAATTTTTAAAAAATATTATTATAATTTTTGACTAAATTTATTCATTAACTGTAATAAAAAAAAAAGAAGAAAGGAAAAAAAAACAATTAAGATAAAATTGGTATAAGTGACAAAAAAATATGATAAGATTTGTACATAAATATTTACTATTTTTAAAACACTGAGTTATAAAAAATTAGTGTGAAACAAATGCAATTAACTGTAATATAAATATTTCTTAATAATTACAAATTATCAAGACGTAGTAAAAACTGATAAAATGTGAGCAAATACAAATGTTGTACGAATAATAAATAAACAAAGTGAAAATAATGTTATCATTATAAAGCCGGTTCAACGTGTTTTAATATTACTTGCGCGATAAATTATTTTTTATATAATTTTAATTATGTACAATAATAAAAAAAAATTTACAATATCTTTAACATGTATATGCAATTATAGAAGATTGCAAAATAAAAATTTTGTCTTTTCACTGGATCTTTTCTATTTATCGACGATATTGATAATGCAAAGGTAGTGGAATATTGTTCATTCGTTCGTTAATGATTAATAATAAATAATGTTTTTTATTATCCTGGATGAAGCAATATCTTTTAACATTCTTAATTTATGACACATTAACATCATTATAGGAGAGAGAGAGAGAGAGAGAGAGAGAGAGAGAAAGAGAGAAAGAATAATAAATAAGAAAAGCAATTTAATTAAATAATGCGTATTAAAATATTAATTTATTGGCAATAAGACGTATAAGTATACGAAATTCGAGCTCAACAGGTGTTCTATCGGATAATGATAAGATTTATAAAGTTTCAAATATTTATATTGGAATATAAAAAACATATTAATGATAATAATAATAATAATAATAATAATAATAATAATAATAATAATAAAAATAAATCCTATTATTTAATTGATTAGCAGGAGCTAATCGAGGTATTGGATATATTAAAAATAAGTAGTTCATAGGTTTTCCTATTGAACAAGAGGAATGAGTAGAATTGAATCGTAGATCATTTTTGGCCAAATGCTAATCGGAATCTTTGCAAAAGAATGGACAAAACAACAACAGCAAAAGTAAAATAAAAAAAAACGAAAAAAAATAAACATAATATATAAAAAAGATGACGGAGAATGTATAATAAACAGGAAGTTCGCACAGGGAGTTGGGAATCGTTTTGGCTGGCTAATTTCCTTAATTGAATTTTCCCTGGGTACGTAGAGAGAGAGAGAGAGAGAGAGAGCGAGGGGGAGAGAGCGAGAGAGTGCGTGTGAGGAGAAGGGGAAGAGAGAGAGAGAGAGAGAGAGAGAGAGAGTGCGTAAGTGAGTTAGCGAGCGTGCGATCGAGTGAGGGGCTGAGGGGCGGGGGCGGAAGAGAGTCTAGTAATGGTTGGCAAAATTGATATAAATTTATGTAACGAAACGCTTTAATAGCCGGGTGACGAGCTTATCAACGACGAGGATAATACAAGACACGAGGGATGAATGAGGATGGAGATCGAATAAAGCAGGGGACACTTACCTTGTGCAAGAAGCCGTCGTCCGGTCTCGCTGCTTGTTAAACGACGATACTAGCGACTGTCAACCTTTCCTCGCCTATTACCGGAAAAAAAAAGTGGAATAAAGAGCCGACTGTAGGACAGGCAATAGTCGAGCTACCGCCACCAACAGTGCCAGTCAAGCCGAGCACGTCGTAACACTGAACTGCAGCAAGTGACAGGTAAGCGAGAAGAGCGAGTACTGGGGCGCCGGTAGCACGCGGCCGACAGTTAAATATGATTGGCTTGCGAGTGGCCGCTGCTCGCTCGCGCTTGTCGTTGTTGCGTCCCTAGACCGAGCCCCGGGGCTGTAAGCCTAATAGGCGGCTGCGAGCGCGCAGGGATATCGACGTCGAGGACCACGACGAGAAACCACCACCAGTCCGCGAGTCTAACTAGTGTCGCTACGGGAGCGCCTCTCGCGGACGAGCCGTGGAGACCTCTCCTCTCGCGCCCGTGTCATCGTCGTCGGCGCGCGCGCGCCTGTGCGGGAGCGCCGAAGAAGGATAAAGTTTCGAAGGGGAAACGTCGTGCGCATGATGAGGCAGGAGCAGCGACTGCGGCCTCTCTACCTAACGCAGCCAATACAATTGCTAAGTTTTTTTATTGCATTTCACGTGGGTCGTCCGATGCACGCGCACCGTGCGTGCAAAGACTTGGCCGAGAGCGTCTCGCGCATATTCCCTTGACGAAGGTCGATGGTCGATCGATGCTTTCGGGATTCCGATAATGCCGAATGTGTATTTAAGGGAGGAAAGTGAGAAGAACGGAATTAACATAACATTCCAGACGGCTCTCAAGGGCTTCTTACGTAGCTTAACTAAACACGCGCTTTTGGCAATTGATAATTAACACTCGGGTTTCCTTCCAAATCCTAATGCAATTTTTTTATCCATTTAACGCGAACAGTTAGTTAAACGCTCATCCTTCTAGTCTTTTTGTTATTACGAGTACAACAATAGGATGACATTCTTCCACCACATTTTTTTTTTCTTAAACCGTATATTTGGATATTAAATAATTTTCCAATGTATTCACTAGTCTAAATATCATTCAATTTTTCATGCACAATGTCGATCGATGTATTTTTTCCTTAAATATAATTGAATTAAATTTTCAAACGATGAAACAACTCGCTTTATAATACATAATTATATTTCAATTCCAAAATTCAATTTGTTGTAATAGTTATTATTGTTGTTATAATTTATTTTTAATAGTTTATATGTTTAATACTATTATTATTATTATATTTACATTTGGAATATTTAATATGTTCCATAGAGGTGACAAATTGTTGTAATTTTTTTATATTTGTATGTTATTTCCATTCGTATAAATTTATTCTACGTTGCGATTTTGTGCCAATATACGAAAAATACATAACTGCACTGACTTATATCAGAAATTATATGAAACATAATATCGTTAATTTTCAATTTTTTTTCTTCGACATTTAAGTAAAATAATCCTTAGAAGCAACATATTAATTTTTCTGTTCATAGTTTTCAAAATTGACATTTAATTTTTTATACAATTTTGTAAAACAAAATATATATGTGTATATATTCTTCAAAGTTGCAGCCATATTAGATTTGACTTAATAATAATAGTAATTTTTTTTTATCAATGGCATTAAGATAATTTGTTGCGTAATTTAAAAGTAATTTAGTGCTTGTATTCGGTTGAATAAAAGGCACATAAATAAAGAGATTAAAGCGAATTTATGCCAAAAATTTTTTAATATAAAAACAAAACTTATTTTTGATACAATATTAATTTAATATTTATAAAAACATTTTATTCCAAAGTATTAAATGTATTTATATTTTATATTAGTTGCTAATTATATCTAACGAATCAGTGCATTGTGTCTAGTATTATTTAAATTCTCATTTAACTTTATTTAATATTAAATTTAAGAAAACGAACATCCTTTTACATTCTTTACTTGAAATTGAAGTGTAAAACTTGTGATTTTTAAATTAAAAAGTAAACTTGTAATAAAGAATATTCAAATTTACATTGATACTTATATATTATTGTGTAATACTTATTATAATGTTATAAATTGTAATGAGTATTAATATATAAAATTAATGAAACATTTTGTTAGAAAGGTTGAAAGATATATATATATATATATATATATATATGTATATATTATGCATTATTAAATTAAAAGTTATAAAAATATGAAATTCTAATATTTTAATTATTATTAAAAAAAAGCATACCAGATTATTTCTAATATATTTATTTATTGAATGGTTTATTTTATGGTTACAATAAAATAAAATATAATAATTTTAATTTTGAATTTTAAAATATACTCTAAATTACGAACAATTGAATTTAAAAAAAAAATACCATTTTTGTGTTTTAGCAAGTGAAGAATAATATTTTAAAAGCACACTTGCAATATTTCAAAATATTATTTAAATATTTAGTATCTTCAATGCAATAAACAATTTCGAATTGTACTTATAAAACATAATAGAACTTTAATGAACGTGCGTGATTAACGAAGAATAATTAAAGGTTAGATATTTAATTTATAAAATCAAATTCAACATTAAAGAAAATTATCATTTCGAATCAATAAGTTAAATTAAATTCTCTTACGAGTACATTATAATATTAACTAATTTTTACTTGAATAAAAGTACAAAAAATTTATATTGAAATTTATTAGAATAATTAACATTTCTTGTAATATATCAGCATGTCCAGATGAGTATAAAAATTTACTCAGTTGCAAATTTGTTCAAGTTTCATTTCCCCGAAATTATCTTGGTTGATACTATACTTTAATTTTTATAATATTCTGCAAGAGGTTGTATTACAATATTAATAAAACCTATGATTAAGACTCAGTACGTCGACTGTTTTCACTTAATTGATTTGATAGATGTCAATCTTCTTGGTAACTTAAGAAACTTTTTTAAAATAAAATAATAGACGGTCTTATAGGTGCGGAATAAAATTTATTAAAGAATTTGAAAATTATACCAGAAAGTTAGTTTGAAAAACGTTTTAAATGATACGGATATTTTTTATCCGATAGAGATCACTTAAAATAAGATAATGTATATATAGATAAAAGAACCATATTTTGCTTAGTATATAATTAAACAAAATTATCAAATCATAAAATATATATAAATATGTATAAGTGTAATAAATGTATTTAATAAACGAGATACTGGATATTAGTTTTAAGAACGTTAAAATTTTTAATTATGATTTAATGCAAATCATAATGTACTTAGCGAAATTTTCAAGTTGAGTTCGAATATTTTAGGTTATATAAAATAGATTTATTTAAAGAATCAACTATACGAACAAAAAATCTATTAAAAAATATCTTATTGTAAAGTATGTGTCCATTTATTTATGTCTTAATGAGTTATTGACGTTCCTTTGCATTTTAATATTGTTCATTGGATATTTAATAACTTTTTTTTCGATTGAATTAAGACCATAAACTTTTTTTCTTCGTTATTATAAATTATTATTTTTAGTGTATATTATATTGCTTTCTAAATATTATTAACAGATATTTAAAAATTTGGTATTTAATTTTACTTAAATTAAATTTATAATAAATAAAATTTGACAAATTGTTTATACAAAAAATATATATACAAAAATATTGATAAAAAACATACTAAAACTTAATTTATTGTTCTAATATTATATACTATACTCTAATATAATAATAGTATACATTCATATACTTTTATTATGTAACAAATTACTTCTTTTTTTGTAGGTTTATATCATTTAAAAATAGTTAAATTAAATTTCTATTTCAATATTAAAATATATTTCTTTGCATTCCAAAATTGATCGTTTGTTATATGTTTTACATTTGTTTAATTCCTGATAAAAATAAATAACTTTATATTAAGTCATGTTAAATTTAGCGTAAAGATGATTTTTTATACTTTTAAGTATATAAATTTTATAAAATAAAGTTTACATATAATACATATTTAATCCCATTTTATATATAAATTTTCATATCTTAGACGTAATTACATAATAATACAGGAAAATATTACCAGGAATTTTTTTTTATATATTTAGAACAATTTTACAGTAGTATGTATTCAAGTTTGTACAAAGATAAAGTATACTATAATAAAGTATAGTATAAAATAAAAACATTATATAAAAATAACGTAAATAAAAAAAATACACAAAAATAATGCATGTGAACCATAATAATTATTGGTATATATATAAAGTAAATGTTATAAAATGAAAAGTTGTATTACAAAAGAAACTTAATATTTAAGGAATAAAAATTTATTAAAATAATTAAAAATATAAAAAATACTATTAATAAAATATAAAGTTAAAAATATCCAAATATTATATTAAACTGCAAAAATTAATATTAAGCAAGTTTTTAAATAATATAAATTTTGTTTATATCTAAGTTTATATAATAATACCAAATATATTACTTTTGTTTTCAGTATATGTAACAATAATAATATCATGATCTATGTATACAAGCGCTTATGTAAATTTCAGGAGAGTTTAACGCGAAAATTTTTAGAATTGATGTTTCGTAAAACATGTATTATGAAATCAATCTTAAGTATACATTACGTAAATAAATAAATAAAATATAATAAATTTTTTATTTTTGGAAAAAAGTTATTAGACATTTTCTAAAAAATTTAAATATCATAATTTTATAATTTATAATTTATTATAAAAATATATAATTTAATTAAAAACGAAATATTTAATACAATTACAAAATTAATTATGCATTAACTATTACCACAATATAGTATATAAGATATTAAATTTATAAAATTGTAAATTAAATATATTGAAATCGCAATAATCAATAGTATCTTGAGTTTAATTAAGGGTATGAAAGCCGTAGTGAAATTTATTAAAAAATTATCTCTTTATAAATTATCGGAAGGAAATTATCTACAAAAGTAACTTTTTCTAGACTTTATGTATGTTGTCACGCGATGATTAAAGAACACACTATTGTTATCTAAGCCCTTTTATAACATCTATTATTTATTTCTCTTCTACTAGGAAATCTGGTGCTTTTTAATATTGTTTATCTATTAAGTTACTATACTATACATATGAACACATAAATTATAGCTTTATTTATATAAAACTATACAAAATTTTTAGCACAAAAAAATTAGTTTTTAATTCGTGGTGTGTTCATATTTATCGTTATTCATATGTCGGCTCTTATAATGTGTAATTATAGTTTATGAATGTAGAAAATGGAGAATGAAAAATGGATTTAAAAAATGAGATACGTCTTTTGCTATATATGTCAAAGAAAATACAGAATAAAGTAAGTCTAAAAATAAATT